TTTTTCCTTTTAGGCTAGGTTCACACCTAGGTGATTGCGCTGGTGAGCTGTGTTTGGGTGTTTTTTTGCTTTGAAAACCATGTGGTTTTCAATGCCTAGAGATGTCAGAGACCCAAATCATGTGAAAATCACCCAAAAATAGCTCCTGCACCCTTTTGCGCTACCAGCAATTTCATTTTTTTTTTTTTTTTTTAGCCAAAATATTTTGCATAGGTGCTGTTGACTGTAAATGTTATATTTGCATACTGTATTTAGGCAACTTCTACTTATTAGTGTGCTCAGTATTGTTTATGGGAGGGATTGTAATCTTTGTGGACAAGTTTTAGGCTAGGGCTACAATGGGATTAGAGCTTTGCTACAGACTTATTTAAGCACGCGCCATCAGTATGTAGCATACTGAAATCCATGTGTTGCTAATGATGCCTGGCTGGTGGGTAGAAATGCTTTCACTTTGTCCGTGCAGGCAAAATGGTAGTGTCTCTGCCAAGGGCCCCTCTTTACTCCTTTTACCAAATCTCCATCACTGCTGACACATTTACTATGTGGAAGGGCCACTGGGAGGTGCTATCTGGCATTGTAATGCAGCTTGGTAGTGTTGCTGCTATCAAATGTGGTTTAGGGAGATGTGACGGGCAGCTCCTTTTCCATTCATGCTTTTGATGATTCCCCCTAAGCACCGCCTGCTGGAAGCTGCACACAAAATCTCATAGAGCTTCCTCTGGCTATTAAGCTGCTGTAGATTTTTGGTAGCTTAGTTTTAAAGTCTCTCCTGGTTGTTGTACAATTACCCTTGTGCATCTGTTGCTCCCACATGTCTTCACACAGATGTTAAGTGATCTCCCCTTGACCCTGAGCAACCAGTGAGTTTTTTCTTGTGTTGTATTCTTTAGTGGGTATGGTACTGGCCAGAGCCTTTTTACAAGCTGCTCAATTACCTTTGGTATTGTAGTGCATCTGGACAGTGGGGATTAGTTTGCACAGCATATGTCCCGTCTTGCGCGCCTGGGGAAGGAAGGTACTCTTACCCCCCGTCAGATCTTTAATGATCTGGACCCTGGACGCCCCGTGGCGTCTGCCTCTGCGCCCCGATCTTCTGTCCCAGGGTGCTGTGTTCCATCCTTCTTTACAGTCGCTGGCTTTGACGGCGTGGCTATTGAGCGCCAGGTCCTGAAGGACCGGGGGTCGTCTTTATTACCCTACCATTCAGGATCTACGATCTGTTGCCTGTGTCCTTCAATGAACGGAGAGAAAAGGATTTTACGGTGAGTACAAAAATCCTATTATTTTTTAGTCTTGGATTTGAGGCTTTTAGTCCAAGAGTAGCCTGGACTAAAACCATGGTTGCTTTTGTATGAGATCCTTCAAGACCTTTCCACTTGCCTGTTTCACTCTAGACCTCTACGTCTTTCGTCATTGGACAAGTCAGTCAGGTCCCAGGACAAATTGATTTGTTTCTTACCCGGAACCAGGCTGTCCCTGGTCTGGTGGCTGAGGAAGCTGGCTCTGGAATCGGGGACTACATTCCCATATTCTTGAAAATCCACACAACCAATTCTAGCCTGTCAGGCTGGGGAGTCTTGGGCACACTGTGCAGTGTTTCACCATCCTGCTGATAGGTCATCCAATCCAGATTCACTTGGGAAAACACCAATGCAGTGGCATACACCAACCGTCGGGGAAGAACCAAAGTCTCACTGGGGCATGGCAGGTGTTCAGAGCCTGTTCTGGGCAGAATTTAATGTTCTTTTCCAAAGTACCCCTTCTTTTTTTGCAAGGTAGTGTTGAGGCCCAGGACTGCATTCTTGCCTAAGGTAGTTTTTGCCTTTTCACCTCAACCAGAACTTTGTTGTCTCAGCCCCCTGTGAAGCTCAAGGAGATGTCCCTCTCTTGTCTGGATGTGGTTCAGGCTGTGAGAGTCTGTGGCAATCCATCTCTCTTCCACTGCTTCTTCGGGGGGCTGACTTTTATGTTCTGGATGGACCCCATAATTATAACACCATTTCTAACTGACCCAGGAGGGCCATCATCCAAAATTACGGTCTTAAGGATCAGGTTCTACCCTTTTGTCAAGGCGCACCCTACTAGCTCGGCGTGTTCTTATTGCTCTTTTTGGCGTTGTGCAACTTTTCCCAGTTTGGAAGGCTGCAACCTGGTCCTCTGTTTTTATTTCTTAAGTTGTACCAGGCAGATATTCAGGCCTCATTTGATGCCGGTTTCGGGCATTGGGTCATTCTTGCGGCTCTTTGACCTGCAGACAGTCCCCAGTTTTCTGTTATCTTTTCTTGGTTCCGTTGGTCTTTGTTGCTATGTTGCCCACCCCTCTGTTGGATTGCTTTCGGATGTCTGCACAGTCAAGAATTTTAAGAATTTCTGTGTACGTCAGTTGATGATAAAGAAAATCGGATTTTTTTTTTTTTACTCACTGTAAAATGCGTCCTTCTCCTGCAGGTGGCGATATTACCCTACAGTACATGATCTCCGATCTGTTCCCTGTGTCCTTCAATGAACGGAGAGAAAAGGATTTTACGGTGAGTACCAAAATCCTATTTTTCTTGAAGTCCATTGAGTGACACAGGTGGTTCTCTCCCCCCCCCTCTGTGTTTATTTCATGCGCTCAGTACTACTTTGCTACAAACATGATGGCTATAGCAGGGGCTATCCTTTGCTTCGCAATGGATTTTTTTTGGCCCCAGTGTCTATTTCTCCTATATGCGGCAGTGTAACCCAACAGTGTAAGAATTTGTGTCCATCAATTGACTCCAAAAAATGGATTTTACATTTCAGTACAAAAGCTCTATTTCTAATCTTCTTGGTAGCAAGGAGAATTGCCTGTGTAGACCTAGACTTTTCTCCATTCCATGGTAATGATAGAACTTGCATAAGTGTTCTATTGCCAACTTTAGCCAGTGAACGATAAACCTGCCAGTATACTTTTTGAATGGAGGAGAACACTGAAGTACTGAGAAACATTTGGATATATGACTCTTCTAAGACCAACAGAGGGACACAAGTTGGAAACGTCAGATTAAAGTCCTATCCATTTACAACCGGAAAGTTGGTATTTGCTTATGAGGACCAGAGTCCGTGCTACTGGGGTACTACACAAACAGTGTGTTTGTCTCAGTGTAACACAAGTGATTTTTAAAAAGTGTGGTGTAATCACGTTCTATGCATCTTCCTGAAATTTTCAGTTTCATATCTGTTGTGAATTTAGAAGAATAACTTAAAATATTTGCAGGGCCAAGCCTTACACGCTGCACCAGTCAACCAATCCAGGCCCTGGACTATTGGGACCTCCTCCTCCAGCGATGCCCATGAGAGGCGGTCTTGATGATCGACATGGCGACTTTAGGAGTCACCTAGGTGAGTGTGAAGTCTGTGTCTGCAGGTCTGTCCTTTATTTATTAGGAAGTGGTCATATCCAGTGTCGCCTACTGCAGTTGATGTGTTGTGGTGTTTTATTTTTTTATGTGCATATAGCCCCCGTTCACACTTGAGTGTCTTCAGGTGATTTTTTTTTAAGGGTTTTTTTTTTTTAGGCTTGAGCTTATTTTAGCTAATGAAAAGCTAGTTACCGCGATGAGACAGTTGTTGGGTGCAAATTTGCATGAAAAATGTGCACTACATGAATTTTTCAGACGCTCTCGTTGAAGTCTGCGGAGCCAGAAACATTCAGTTCTGCCCCAGAGCTATAAAGCCATACTCAACACCGTGCTCTCATGTGAACAGGCACAATTGAAAATGAGATTATTTATGTTGAGCGCTGTCACATTTCAGGTAGCACAAAGCACCTTGGTGGAAATGGGGGGCTTAGTGTGGCCAGCCACAATGTGCTGGGAGTAGCTGCAGATTTGTGTTATTTTTTTACTTGTTTACTCTACATGTAGATTCAACTTTTAATTGTAATGCTTTTACCTTTTAATTGTGCAGGAAATGAAGACATGCCGGGACCAAGACAAATGCCAAGGAAAATGGTTTGTACAAGAAGAGTTGGGGGATATAAAACTTGCACTCTTTCTGCTGTTACGTGAGCCTGTTTGTTTACATACTATGTACAAGTAAAGGTTCACTTTAAACAAAGTGCCTGACCTAATTCCCTGTTCATCCTTAATTGATCGAAAGGTTGCCTATCACATTACTAGAGATGTGGGGGAATGCTGTCCAGACACCGACTTCTTGATGTAGCTGAGATTTGGATATTCGCGGGGCACTATATGCCATAGCTAGACTATGTAGTCTCATAGAAGTGCTCACCATTACATGTCACTGAGTCTTTTTATGATGTGTTGATTTTTTTTTTTCTTTATTTAGGGCAATGGCAGGGTGGTTCATATCATGGAGTTTCAACGAGGGAAGAACTTGTGGTTCCAGCTTCTGAAACTCGCTGAGCCCTTTGGAATGGTCACCAACAATCTAATTCTTAGTAAAATGAACGAGGTATGGATAACGCTCAAATGTATTTACAGGCAAGTTTCATTGCCAGCTCCACCCAAATACTGTTTCAGCTTTGGTTGGGCACTTGTTGGTCAGATGACATCCTATATGTCATACTCGAGTGGTGAGACTTTCCAGTGGTTGTGTCTCTGCCCCCTGCTCAATACTATAATGAAGGTGTCACTTTCTCACAGCTAGATTTCCCAGTTATTGATTCTACATTGAAAGTAAGTAGGTGAAATGTGAACATCAGTTGAGCTTTGCAATGGTGATGGCAAATACCTGGGAAATCCAATGGTAATATTTGTATACTGAGTAACCAAGAAATGCACTATGACAATGGTGCGTTTGAGCTTGCTAGCTACCATACAAAATATTTCAATACCAGGTCTGGCTGGTGTTTGGTATTTAAAAATGTATGTATAGTCAAGATTTAACAGAACATCATGGGGGGAATTTATCAAACCAGTTGTGACTGTTGTAGCCTCTTAGATAATTTTTTTTAGTGCAGATCTGTTAACCTCTTGCCATCCGCCCGTAGTAAAAAAAAGGACGGACGGCACTGCAGCATCTGCGGGTTGCCGTCTCCAGACGGCAATTTTTTTCTGCTCGCGCGCGCCCCCTAGCGGGCACGCATAAAAAAATTCGGTAATTTTTCCTTAATATAGTAAAAAAATAAAACCCCCAGTGGTGAATAAATACCACCAAAAGAAAGCTCTATCTGTCCCCAAAAAAGGGTATAAAATTCATTTCAGTACAGCGCTGCATGACGGAATAAATGTCAGTCAAAGTACCGCAGCGCTGAATACTGAAAAATGGCCTGGATGGGAAGGGGGTTTAACACCGCGGATGTCAACTGGTTAAGCCGCTCCTTTTTAACATGTGCGCCTGTTTTGACCAGAGCTTGCACTATTTTCCTGATTGCGGGTGTTTTGTGAAAGTTCAAAACTGTTTACATCTGCACTTGTCTGAAACTGGAGAATCACCTAACAAAACAATTGCTACTTAAAATTCCCCATGATCACTTCTTCAAGAAGCGACAGTTAAGCTTTTTGCCTGGAGTTACGAGGGGTCTTTCCTGGAGTCTATTTAATGCGACCATATGCGAGTTCAAACGCTCGCAATTGCTAACATAAATTCCCGCCATTCAGTACTTCTCTGTGATTCATGCACATTTATGTGTTTTACACCTTTTAAAAACGCTGCAGGTACAGAAAAATACCTGTTGATGTGCAAGAAATCCAGAGAGCTTGTGGTGAGCTCCTAACTTGTGCCCTCTGCTAAAATGAATTTTAAGCAGTGTTGCTTGCGTTCTTCTCTACTTGATTACAGAACATGTTGTTACTTGAATGTTGAGCTTATGTTGTGGAGGTGAGAGGATGGTAAGATGCACAATTTCTAGAATTTGTGCCGCGCTTATCTATAATATAAGTGTTAGTAAAATAATCATGTAAATCACACACAGATTCTCATAAGTGCAAACCTATATAAGTGTGTACACAAATCCACAGAGTGAAAAACGTCCATAAAACTATATAAAAGTGATAAACAGAAACTTCCCTAAGTGTATAATCATTCAAATAACGCTGCAGTGGTCTTTAAATTCAAATGTGACATGTCCACCCCTCACAGTGAGCCGTTCACCTAAAGTATAGACCTAGAACTTCATGCAGATCAAATATTGCTTAGAGACTACCAGATGAAGATGCACAGAGGTACCCAGAAACCAGGCTGCAGTATTGGAACGCGATAGATTATTAGCAGCAGGGGGAGTCCAGGATCTGATCGTCTTGTGCTGTTTACATTTTGCTGCACGGTATTGGCATGTAAGTAGATTTTTTATAAAGGATTGTATTGCGTTAACGGTTTTACACTATGGATCATTGTGTATTTTTGGCTGTAAACATCCGCATCTGGGAGGGGTTCTCTGCACTGAGCCCTGGGAGGATGAGCCGAATGATAAGAGTATCTGGTAGTCTCTAAGCGATATTTGACCTGCGTATGTAATGCTTGCGGCTGATATATATATTATAGGCACAAGATCATTTTTAATATTTTTATGGTAAGATATTCGGTATTTCAGTATCGGAGAACACAGGCAGGGGTAACAACACATCTTAGGTTTTTGGTATAGCAGCAGGCACAAGCAAAAAAAAACGAAGCTCACTATATTTCTGGCAGAACAGGTATTGTTCTTTACTAGCAGCGCTTTTGATGGGATAAAATATGTGAAAATGTGTATGAATTGGAGAAATGTACTGAATGCGTGTGGGTTTGTGTGAACCTCTCCACAAAAATTGCATTCATGTTCAATATGTTAATGCTTCGGGAACAATGACCTCCTTGGGCTTGCACACAAATTTATGATTTATGGTGGGATACCACCAGACCTGGGTGAGTGGCTTCTTCTAGCCACAGTCAGAGCTCTGACACATCAAACAGTTTCACAGCATCTGCTTTTCCCTATAAGTGTGATCTGTGAAATATTTGTAGGTTGTGTAGTGCGGATCACAGCTCTTGATTTGGGCTGGACTTACTCTGTGCTTCTGGAATGAAAGGTTTGATGCCGTCTTTGCTATTGAGCAATAAAACAATACTTTTGTTTTCCCAAGTGTTTTATAATCACTTCTTCTTTTTTTTTTTTTTTTTAACAGGCTTTCATTGAAATGTCCACTCCAGAGGAGGCTCATGCCATGGTTGAATACTATAGTAATAATCCTGCTCTTGTTTTTGGGCATCCGGTTCAAGTACACCTGTCACAAAAATATAAGCAGATTAAGGTGCGTGTCAGTTCATTGATTTTATTTGGGGTCTTTTTTTTGGTGTGTGTTTTCCCAGATTTTGCACATTTGAGTCTTGTGTGAAAACGCTGATAGACACGTAAAGACAAAATCTCTCTCGGCTCCTGTTTCCACTCACATGCTGTTATGAAGGGGTCTCTCTCTCACTGCTGGGTTTGGACCCAACAGGTGAGACTTAATAGCGGTCTGGTGAACCCTAGAAATATAAGAAGCCCTATAGGTGAATCCCATATAACCCAGTTTTTATCTATCTTATCTCTCTATCCGATCTATCGTGTGGGGAATTTGTTTTTCTTGTGCTGCTTTAAGGTCTTTAAATTATATTCCCACATTTGCTTGAACCATAAAAACTTACAATGTGCATGTCATCTACTTACCTGTCTTTTCTTTGTAACATTTTAAATCATTAGAAACGCGAAAGGACTGAAAAAAAACAAGAGGCGCAATCAGACCGGAAACCAGACGTTGGCTGCGTCGTACACCTTTCTAACCTTCCACAATCTGGCTATACTGACAGCGCAGTTATAAAGCTGGCTGAGGCCTTTGGAAAAGTGAAGAATTACATACTTATGAGAATGAAAAATCAGGTATATATGTGTTTGCCACTAATTCACGTAAACTTCTATGGCATAATGAAAGCAAAGCAAAAATTAAGCTTAAGGTATATGTAAATACTAACAATTAACTTATTTGCTCAGTTTTGATCTGTTTAAATATGCCATCGGAGTGTTTTGTAATATTTGTATGACAAGTGGAGAGAAAATAAAACAGTTGATCTTGCCCGAAATTCAGATTTTTCCCTCTACATACCTCTGTGCGATCTTGGAGAGCCCTCCTAGTTCTCATCTTGAACTACAGAATGAATAGCCTTTGTGTTGTACACATCTGAGAGTAGGGGTTGCTGAGTAGTTCAGCAAAAGATAATAGGCAGGACTGACCACATTCAGACTGCAAAAATGCTGTGAGGGGAATTTATCAAAACTGGAGCAGACAAAATCTGGAGCAGCTGTGCATGGCAACCAATCAGCTTCTCTTTCATTTTCAAATCTTAGCTGAACAAACTGATGAGAGAAGCTGATTGGTTGCCATGCACAGCAGCTACAAATTTAGTTTGCTCCAGTTTTTATAAATTCCCCTCATAGAATTTTTGTGGACTGAGACAGATGACTGACCTATTTTAGTTTTCTCCTGCAAAACTACTAAGACCCACCTGCTTTGCGACCGCCGCAACATTAAGGGTAATCATTCTTTAGTCCTATGATAATGAATGGGATACCTCTCCTTGCGGTAACAAAAGTACACAGGACAGCTCTGAATTTCTGACACCAAGTTTTTTTTTTTTTTTTGCACTTCTCATATATAACAAAACAGTAACAATGATACATTTCCCCTCTGTGTTTTCAGCCCACAACAGGGCTTAGACCCTGAGTGCTTGGTCTACTTGTATTTCTCCATTGAGGGACACAGCTCTGAAGAATTCTGAGATGTAGGGTTATGCTGCTGCCTCTTGGAGAAATGGACATTAGGCAAAAAATTAAAAGCCTGCAACTTTAAGATCATAATCCTTCCCACCTCACACCTGCCAGTTTCACTTGGTATCATCAGGAGAATGAATGTCTCCTTCTATGCTGCTTTTTTGTTTCCACATTGTTGTTTTTTTTCCCAGACTCTAGCTACCCGGTCTAAGACCAAGCGGCTGCAAGTGTTGACCCACATTATATTAATTGTGTCAATCACATGACAGTTGCGTCTCATTTGTGTGCAGCATGAAGGTCAACCTCCAACTGTTTTTTGAGTCAGGGGATGTCTGATGGCCTCTGCAGAGATATGGGAAGCAAGCATCTCAGATCTCTCCTCCTTTCACCTTCCTGTGTCTCCGCAATGACGGTCTAGGGACTGTTAGGTTAGGGAGTTATCGTTCTAGTCTAGTTTTTACTCAAACCTGTTCCAAAATGTGTTTTGTTCCATCCTGGATTTCAAAGCTCTTATGTTCAAACTCAAAAAGTTGAATGTAATCTGTTCGGTTATCGTCTCCCTTAATCTTGTTGATTGCTTGTTTTCCATCAACATCAAGGATGCATATTGATGCTTTCCTATCCTTCTGAGTCATCAACATTTTCTTCGCTTTGCCGTAGGCGAGCTCCATTATCACTTTGTGGCCCTTTTCTCTGGTCTGGCCATAACTCCAAGGGTTTTCACCAAGATCCTTGGTATGATTCTGTGTAGTATTCACCAAAAAATGCATTCCGAATCTTTTTTCTTTTTTGGATACGTAGACGATTTTTTTGCTTCGCAAAAAATCTTCTCTGGCTTTGGAAACCAATGTGTCCACAGTACTGAAATCCTTACAGGGTTTTGGATGGATTTTGAGCAAATCGTCCATGATTCCATTGCATCGCCTGCAGTACTTGGGTCTTTTCGATGCATCCCTGGCCAAGATTTTTCTTCCCCAGGATAATTTAACCAAGTTGGAGAGTTTGGAAAGAGCTGGAGAATCCACCTGCTTCGTTTCCATCGACTATTCCTCATGTGATCGTGCATGCAATTTCTAGGCGTAGTGGTGTCCACCTTCAAAGCAGTTCCATATGATCAGTTTTACTCTGGGATTCTTCTATGGAATATTCCCACATCGTGGGACAAGTCCAAAATTTGTCTCTGGGCAAGATTATCTGGTTGAGTTTCTAAACCCAGGATGTCTCTATCCTGTTGGTTAATTTTCCCTGTCTTGACTCAAGGGAAAAACTTTCTTCTTTGTTAATGAAAGGTTGTCACAATGGCAGCTTCCTTTAGATGTATGGATGCTTTGTTTGTCCTACCAGAAGGTCCTAGAAACGTTGTTCAGCTTCCAATATTCCACTATTTATCATAGTTGCCATACTGTGAGTATTTCTAAGTGGATTCGTCAAGTTGTAATTCAAGCTCATGAGTAGCTGGATAAGGTACCTCCGTTCCATTTTTCTACTCATTCTACTAGAGCCAGTAGTGATCCGTGGGCCTTTCATAATCAGATTTCAGTTGCTCAGATTTGTATAGCTGCAGCACGTTCTGTTCACACGTTTGCAAAGTTTGATAAAGTTGATGTTTCTGCCTACTCTGAAGCTAGTTTTGGCAGAAGTTCTTCAATATTTGACAGTTCTTCTTCTTCTTTTTTTGTTGAACTGTTTCTCCCAGTTATTTTGCCTGCTCCTTTGTTTGGACTGCTTTTGGATGTCCTTATGTCTCAGAATTCATCAGAGTTGTGTCCCTCATTGGACAATGGAGGAAATAATATTTTGTTCTTACTTGTAATATCCTTTTGAGGAACACAGCTATCTCCCCTCATTTAATTTTGTACTGCTTTCTACAGCTGGCAGGTATGAGGGGTTATGATAAAGTGGCAGGCTTACTTTTTTTTTTGCCTAGTAACCATTTCTCCTGATGGCAGCAGTATAACACTACAGCTCAGAATTCTTCAGAGCCGACTCCCTCAATGGACTCTGAAAAAGGATTTTACAGTAAGAACAAAATCCTATTTTTTTTTTTCTGTAATTGAATGGACTTTACAGTGAACAAACATGGGGAAATGTGCATGTACTGCAGAGACGCTCTGAATTAATACGTTTATTTTTTGTTTGTTTTATTGATGAAGTATTGGGAGAATAAAACATATCGGTGTATGCGACACTGCAACTATCCCACACTGGCTCTATAGATCGAGAGCTGAGCGATTTTGTGGGCGCTGATTGCTAAGCTCACGGTCTACTTCCGTCAGAGTGCGGTGACTGTCGGTCACTGCTCCCCGCTGGGATGGGATTTCTCTCCCTCTGTTCCTCCAGTGCTCCAGAGCCAGCTGTCAATCAGGCAGCTGGGTGGATCCCAACAATATTGTAAATATTGACAATATTAGTAAATGTCCTTCTGTGACCCAAAAGAGAAGTAAAGCCAAAAAAAAGTTCTCCTTTTTTAAAAAAATTATTAGTGTGCCTTGACATACACATGAAGAGTTTATGTTCCCTGTGGGAAATACCCCTGCCATGCAGCATTAGACGTTATTAAGTTGTATTGATTTTTTTTTTTCCGTAGGCTTTTATTGAACTGGAGCAGGCAGAAGATGCACAAACCATGATAGATCACTGTAGCAACACCCCTCTTCTCTTCCAAGGGAAGAATGTAAAAGTAGGCCTCTCTCAGCGGTACAAGAAACTTGTATTAAGAGTAAGTATTTCATTTTGTAACATTCACACTGCCCATTTCTGCTTCTTATTAGTGGACACAGTTGGAGCTCTTGGTATGTATGCCCTGACTGTAGAAGGTTGGAATCTGAAGTAGATGCTTCTCTCTCAGGAGTTATATCCTAAACCAAGCCATTGGCTCTTTTGGCTGTGTCTGTAGGAGGCAGATGCCATACCTGATCCTCAGATTTTACTTTTGTCTATTTTCACCACTGAGTTTAGATGAAATGCTTTCACTATCGGAACCTAATTGTTTGCCACAGAGAGATTCTCGTGGCTCCATCAAGCAGCATCCTGCCTAGAAAGGAACACTTTTTGGGAGCCTTATACACCCATATTGGGAATAAGAGGCTTTTCTTTCAGCTTCTTCATATTCATTGGTTTATAGATGAATTAGAGAGAAAATAAAAATTGTAACGAGCTGTAGGGGAACTCAGACGCCGGTGCGGGTATTGTTTTTTTGGTTGCACTGCATGGCCAGGAAAATTATGTGTAACCATATTATTGGCCTTGTGTTCCACTGTAATCCATGTTTTAGTGCTAGGTGAATTTGTAATCAATGATCCCTTTTGGTTTTTGTTTTGTAAGATTTCATGTCTTTTGGGTCTCCCTTTTTAAATGTTTCTTTCTAGATTCCGAATATGTCAATAGAAAACCAAAAAGACAAGAGCAGGTAATTAATACTTTATTGTGCTTGTCTATACAGTGAAAATCTGGACCTTCTTAACCTTCTTAATGTTTGAATTTGCAGAGTCAATAATAAAAGCATGGGGAGTAGCTTTGTTTACCAATGGAAATTAAACAAGTACTTTAAAACCATTTATTTTAATATATTGCAGCTTACTAGTCTTTAGATGTGATGGCTGAATTGGTTTTCTCTTACCCTTATTTTCATACCCTTTTTTTCACCTGGTGATCGTGCTTGTGACCACGTTCATCCACTGTACTATATCTATGTAGAATAAGAGTTGTCACCCTAGGAAGGAATTGTTTGGACTACAAAGCACCCCCACCACATCTCTGTAGCATGGGGGGATGCAGCTGAAGTTCAAAGAGGAGAACTGGGCAGGGCTGATTGCTTGGGATTTAAGTGCAGCAAAGCACTGTGTTGTTGACTTAGTACAGGCTCTGGGGTAGTTACTAATTTGGAAAAGGAAGATCCCCTTTAACATATGCAATACCCTGTCGCTTTGCATTTTTATGCCAATGTTGTATTTAAAACCATGGTATAAGCTGGTATTCCACTTTTTACAGGAAAAGAGCTCATTCCCCAGATCGGAAGAATGATGGTAAACCGAAGCAGCTCAAGGTTGACAAATCGGAGTCCAGCGATGCAGATAATTCCTCCCAAGTGGTTACCACAGAAGATAATGACCCAAGCACTGAAGAAACTGATCTGAAGGACCTCGTGTCTGGCTCATGTGAGCTTGCAGAAGAGATGGGTGATGAAGAAGCAACTGCCCTCTTGGAAACGAGCAGCTCCGTGGGAGATGGGGCAGAAGTACCTGACATTAGTGATCTGGATCAGGAAGAGATGAGCGAAAACCAAGGAGAGGCCCAAGAGCTGCTTTCTTCAACTCCTGCAGTTGTAGAAAGGAAAAAGGTATGTTTGCAACTTCAAGTTTAGTGTTATATATAGTGATATATATTTTTAAGGGGGGTGGGGGGTAAAGCACACATTTACATTGTGTAAAATTGTATTTTTCTTCTATACCTTGAAAGACACAGCCATAGGAGCTAGACAGCGGCCTGTGGAGTTTTTTTTTTTGGCCTGTGGAGTTTTTTTTTTTTTGTTCTTTTTGTTCTTTTTATTCTTTGCTGGTGGTACCTATAATGGACTGGTCTGGTCGTCGCAGTGCCACTTCTTGCCTATGGCGCCCAGACTGCAGTTGGAGACGTCCTGCTCCCATCTGGGGATGTCTTTTTCTTTTCTGAATACAGGAAAGTGACCCTACTGTGGACAGGTAAACTCATTAAATGTAATTTGCTAACTTATGCCTATCTTGTTATAGAGTTCGCAGAGCTTCCACGGGAATATGGAAGATTTTGTTACTCTGGATGAAGTTGGGGATGAGGAGAATATAGAAGGTCACAAGATAAAATTGGATGTTTCTGAGATTGCTGACAATGAGACAGGGGTGAGCTCGGTGATGACCAGCACTAGTGTGGAGGATGTCCTTGCAGGTGTTAAAAACACACTTGACAATGAGAGTGCTACAGAAACCAGTAACCTAGCAGGACTGACTACAGATTATGAGCTTGGACCCTACCAGCCTAATAATCCTGTTGGTATGCATATTTATCATTGCTGCTAATCTCTTAACTGTATTTCGTTTTGTTGAAAATTGTTTTCAATTTTGTTTACCCAGTTATAGTTGTACCCACATAGCTACTTGCTGCTTAGGGTGTATATAAGAGCAAAATATATATAAAAAAATAGAGCTTTGGGTAAATGACAACATGTATTTGAAATTATTCTGGAAGATCACAGAAGCGTCTCAGAATTATTTGACCTGCTTCAGTTGCTTTTGCATTCCTAGAGATTCCCGAGAATTACTGATAAATCATGAGCACATAGTGGTGGCTGCATGCACCAGCACTTGTCTTCAGGTCAGCTTCTTAATGTTTGAGCTTCTAGGCACAAGCTGTATTGTGGCCATCAATTGTACATAGCCAGGAACTAAGAGTTGGGTTGCCCCCCTCTTCAGGTATAAAGTAACTGGTTTAATGACTGGTAATGTAAAGCTGACCATACACCTTACAATTATCTGCAGACTTTCTATGGTCAGATGGAAAAAGTGCAACAGATTCCTCCACCTACGCTAAACTGCGTGGACGGAGGGATCTCCCACTGGGCCAAGCTTCAGTATCTTGCTAGTCGGCCCCGCTGGCCTTCAAAACACCTGAACAATGCCTGCATTCAATCAGACCTTTCAGGTATTTTGGGAGCCAGCGGTGCAGACAAACAAGATACTGAAGCTTGGCCCAGTGGGAGATTCCTCTATCCACGCAATTTAGTGTGGATGGAGGAATCGGTTGCACTTTTTCCATTTGACCATAGAAAGTCTGCAGATAATTGTAAGGTGTATGGGCACCTTAAGTTTGTGTATTTTGGATGTGATGGGTTCACTTTTATGGTGATGACCTGTTAATACTATATATGATCTCATTGTTATTTTCTTTGTTATTCTTCAAGGAGTGAACTATGTGATTCCCAAGACTGGCTTCTACTGCAAACTGTGCTCGCTGTTCTACACAAGTGAGGAGGTGGCAAAGGTTACACATTGCAGCAGCCTGGCTCACTATCAGAAGCTTGAAGTAAGCTTGTTAGACAGTCTTTCCAGTCATCCATGTCGGTAAAGCTAGCCATAGATGTAAGATGGTGAACAAAAAGTATTTAGATTTACATAAGGTTTGTTCTTTGTTGGAGCCCTCTTTGTTAAGCAGAGAAAACTCTGACATATTGCTGCAAACAGCAGCCTGCATTTTATGAATGGGCTGTAAATTACTGCAGTGTGGTGTAAAAGTATGCACTCTCCATTATGAATTGGCCCCTTGGTTGCGTTTGACCAATGGTTAACACCAGTGATGTTACACTTATGGGGAATAACCAAACTAGTAAAAACACTAGTAAGTACAAAAATGAAATTTCTAGACCAAAAATATTTTTTTTTAAATTTTTTACAACCTTTGTATAATTTTCATTATTTTTTTTACTTTAAAGTTTAGACCAGACCTCTTTTTAAAATAGCCCCTGTTATGAAAGGACAGGAAGCCTCTATACTGAGTGCTTCTGTCCATTCATGAACTATGGAAATAGTATGAGTTACTATGTCCACAATCATGAATGGACAGGAAGTGATGTAGAGCACTTCCTATTCCGTCATAACTTGGGATACAGTAAGTATACTATGTCCTCAGAGGAGAGAAGCTAGGGATGCACTGAATTTTCGGTGGAATTTTCGGCAGTTATATTACTATCAGCATTTTGCCCAAAGGCCAAAATTTATCATTTTCAGAGTGACTGTACAGAATACCAGTTGATTTTATAGCTGATTGTTTGGGTGCCCTTAGAGCCATTGAGATCCAAAATCTGCATGTCTTCTCTCTTGTGCAGACTTTAGCAGCCATACACAGCTGCCTGTAGACCTCTGTTAATCTAAGTTTTCTTTCCTTATGAAGAGAACCGTATCGCTTAAATTGACTGAAATAGAAAGCATTTTGATTTGGTTTGGCAGAGTGGTAATCATCCACTGGTGTATTGTATAATAGTCCACCAGATATACCGCCTCTATCACCCTGTTTTTCCTTTTACTACCACTGCATTCTCCATAATGTATAATAAATTAAGAAAAATCTCTTGGATTCCTCCAGCTTGTATCTAGCCATAACTTCAGTATTAGATTTGGATTGGTGATCAGTTTAAATGTATTTCTTTCCCACTGATAATTTATACAAAATTTTGTTTCCTTTCCAGAAACTTCTGACCAAGACCGCCAAAACTCCAGAGAAGAAAATCTGAGCAGTAGAAGGAATAACTTTTTGTTTTTGTATTACTTTTTATTGACCTTAGTTAATTTCAAAATGTCCCTTTTTTTTGTTCTGCCAGAATGTTTAACACCATTAAACAGATGTTGTGTTAGTAATATTTCAGCATGAAGGTGCTGTAGAATTTTTTTATTGTAAGCCGTTTTTAATTTGAGGCATTTAAACAATGCATTCCAGCAGGGTAAGCTTTGCAGGCCATTTTTTTGGTGACATTCTGCCATCCTAGGGATCTGCAAATCTCGAACCATATTTTGATCAGGGTTTAAAAACCAACTGAACTTTAATTTACAATCAGCAACATATATTTCAGCTGCTTTAAAATAAAAGGTTTGCAAAGTGTGTTTTCTTTAGAAAGCAACCATAGTTAGTGGAGAAAACCTAAGATGAATATAAATGTGAAGAAATCAAGGACTGGGAAAACTGTACACCCAAAAATTAGTCAAGCACATGTTTCTTAGGCTGATGATAACCAGTGGTACGGTGTTTAAATTATTGGATCCTCGTGATAACTTTAGTTGTGTAGACTTTGGCAATGTTTCCAGAGCCAATGTTCCGTTGGCAGCTCAAAGGCAACCTGTAGTCTCTTTACAGTAGCTTTCAGATGTATTTATTACTGGCTTGGTTACCCTACATTTTACTGTCAGATATGTTACTGGACTGTTATATGCATTTAAGGGGGGAGTGGCTTGGTGGGATTGGAATTATTGGTTTTGTAAATGCTTAACTTTGGGGGAAAAAATGCAATAAAAATAACTTTATTAAAGAAAGCAACCTCAGCTCTGCGATCAGCAAAGTTCATGCTTCCTGTTGTTTGACGAGTTCTAACTCTGACTCAGCTGGGGGGGTGTTTGAACGTAGCAGAGAGACCACTGCTTCCACGTTTAAACCAAGGAGCCTAATCTGCAGCATGCTGGCAGGGGACAGGCTTTTCTAATTGTGATGTGGCTGCTTCCTAAAGAAAACAAACTGTAAGACATTTGGTTTTGTTGCACCGGAAATGTATTGAAAGTTCAGTTGGGCTTTTACCGGTGGCTGGCATTGAAGGGCAGCCTTACCATATTAGATTTCTATGTGTCGGTGTTTTATCTGCCCTTTTAGATTATTTTAGGAATGCAAATCCCCCTTGAGATTCCTCCATACCAGTGTTAAATCGCTGCATTACATCAGAGCCTGCAGTTTTGAACCAATTGTGCTACTGCACCAACCTCTGCCTGCTCTTTTGGGCTAGTTGAGGAGTAACGCCCACTAGAATTCTTTATTGTAATTTGTGCTTATAGTGGAGAAGGTTAGAATCTCCATCAGGTTTTATGTGCTGCCTTGTTGCAGAGATTTCTGTACTCCTACAATGTACTCCTTTCTGTACTGTATAATGTCACCTGGCCAGAAAGTGAGGGAGAATATCCAAAAGGGACACGCAGCAATAAAAGATCCTTAGTTTCTCATAATTAACATTGGTGTAAAATAAGAATGGCATGACTTTTGATGTAGCCCTGAAGTTAGTGTGGTTTTGTTTTTCAGCCATCTGCTGATCCTGGCCCATCAACAGTTGCTATATGTGGAATTATTTCAGTTTGCAGAAAGTTCAGGAGCTCTAGGTCCTTGTACAGGGTGAGGGAAACTTTATAACTGTACTTTCAATAAACATTATGCAATTGTACTTCTCGCCGCAGCTTGTTTCGAAATGCCACTATTATAGGTTACGTTTTCCAAAGATAAATCCAGCTTCCAACGGCATTGGCTCTTTTATTTACGTCCTTTTTTTTGTTGTAATCGGGTTCTTCCTGGTCATTACTAGAGAGGGTGCTGTTTGGTGTTAGTCATGCTTTGCATTTTAATTGAATGGGGCAGACTGTCCCAGAAGCACACCTGGGTGTACTAAGATCCAGTAGGCTGCAGGCAGAAGGAATTCTCTTCTGAAAAAGGTAACCCCTTATTAGCATGTTTTTGTAGACTGCTGGGTCAAATACATCTATATCATTTTTGTGAAGATGCTGTTATATTTTAATTGGTTTTGTGCTAAAAGTTGTGAATCTTGCACACTTCCAGCCAGAGCTGGTCTTATCACTTAAAATTGGGTATATCGATTCCTGGAGTATTGCATAAGTAGCCATTAGCCACAATTAAATATGGAACAGATAAAAGGGCTTAGCATTTCTACCTTTGTTATCCAGAGTATATTCTATCTGTGTAAGGGAATGGGGTTTGCACAGAGCCAAAGTTCTCCTGGTTTAAAAGGTTTTGCTTGATTCAGAAAATATTGATGTCCTTTCACTATCGCATCTTACAGATGAGCACAGACGGGTCTATATTCTCACAGGCCAATGGAACAGCCTTCCACATTATAAGTCAGTCAGTCTCATTCATACCTGAAAGCCGACAGTTGCTTTAATGTCTAACTGGGACTTTTTTTCTGCTGTTTTTTTAATGAGGCTAAATGTTCTCATTTTGTGGCATTTTGTATTAGTCATGTCTACGGACATACATCCTATTCTAGGTTATATAGTGGGGAGTGTATTAAAGGGGATGGAAATACAAAAAGAAAGTAACTGGAGCCAGGTTTATCCAGAGGTGTGAGATCATAAAAATCCTATTTGCATACCTTATTATTTGTGACCCCCAGGCTCAAGGCTACATTTCATTACTGTACATTGTAATGATGAGCCCGTCTGTAAAATAGCTATACAGACCTTTCATGCACAGTGTTTTTATTGTCCATAGTTTAGGCCTTGCACAGTGATCATTTATTGGTTATGTGGCACTTATTCCCAACATAAAGATCCCTGCTATACCCTTTATCCAAAGCAAAACTTCAAGCAAAATCATTAAATAACACCGTAAATTTCCCGTTATCCGGCATCCACGGGATTTGGTAGATTCCGGATAAATTTAGTTTCTGGTTGCTTCAGAATTACTATTTAAAAATGGGTTTAACTAATGTCATACCCCATACTATACCACCACTGTATATTGTACTCTAAACCATTAGCAATACATTGCAGTACTGGGAGTGATCGCTAGGTGGTGCTTGTTCACATTTCCAGGATAACACAGCACTTTTCAGAGATCATCCAGACACTCATTCACACGATAATCCAACACTTCTCAACCCGTTCCTGAACCTTTCCATGCTCCAGAGCCCTCTCTCCCTCTGCTAGAAGGTGGCAGATGAGTTCCAGTTAGCTGAATACCGGATAACAGAGTTTACTGTACACCCCAACTCTTGCTTATAACCTTTTAGCTGCATTTAATTTTTTTGCGTCCTTGTTTGGTAGAAACGTGTTTTTGACCCAAGTCTGCTTTCAGCTTGACGGTAGCCGATGCAGACAATGTATTCTGATCTGCCTGCAAGTCGGCACACATGTTGGTAAAGTGAGGCATCAGATTTAATATAAGTATTTCTAAAGCTTACAAATTTTAAGTTGATGTTACCTGATGTATACTTAGGTGCTTGTTGCCCTGAATTAAGTTCTCTCTCTCAAAAGTATTAAGTCCCTGAGCCACATGTAATGCTCAGCTGACTCTAATGGTGCTTTGTGAATTTATATTCAGGGCTAGTTCCCACCACAAACAGTGCGTTCCGTCCCGATTTGGTGTCGGAATGCACTGGATTGCATCCCAGCCGACTCCGTGCTTTCAGGGGTACCGCACTGCAGCCATGCCCCCAGCCGCAGTGCACATCAATACCTGCGTTCCAGTCCGGTGCCGTCAGAAAAAATACTGCATGCACTATTTTTTTCTGACCGGACCAGAACGCAGGCATTGATGTGCCATGTATTTGGGTGCGGGTGATAACACTCCGGCCGGGGGGCGTGGCCTGCGGTGCCATTGACTTCAATACACCGCCGCGCACCTGAACGTAGGGAGCCAACCGGGGTGCGTTCCAGCACCAAGTCAGCCTGGAATGCACTGTTTGTGGTGTGAACTAGCCCTAAGTCTGCCAAATGGTCCATATTGCACAGGTGAATCTAGATTCATTCATTGGCATATATGTATGCATATATGCTACTTTTTGCAGGAACCCAGTAGACTGATAATTGTTAACTAATGTTTTTATTTTGAGTTTTTTTTTTTTTCTTTTTTCAGTTTACATGCTTGGTGTTTTTGCTGACTGTATGACTATTTTTGTTTTTCAGCATTTCAGGCAATAAACTTAATTTTGTTGAGCAACAGCAGAGATGATATCAGTTGGCTTGTAAATTGCTTTGTCAGTGTCGGTATACTGATAGTCATGCGTAGATTTAAGGTGGGTTCACATGGTTATATTTTTTTAGGTTCAACCTCGAAGGCTGACCGAAAATAAATATGACAGATTCCTCCATCCATGCTAACAGTGTGCATGACAGAACCCCCTGCTGTATACCTTGTATTTGTATAGCAGCACTGGCTGCTGACAGAATGCCTGAACAGTGCTTGCAGCTGATTCTGATGCTGCAAGCACTGTTTGGCTGATCATTTTTCAACATGTCCCTTTGATCTAATGAGCGACTTCTGTCGGGTCACCAACTTATTGAATTTCAGCCGATTCTAAACTGGAAGCATGTCCTGTATAAAATATAAATGCATATATATTCCCACATATTCAATTACATACTATATGATGTTTGAGATGTTCGTGTAAGTCCAGGTGAACATTTTTATTTTTATTAGCCTGGAGAATGGTATGATAACTCTACTTGCTTCCTTTTTAGAGAGGGATATGTTTTTTTTTTTTTTAAACTGCTGTATGCATAGCCATTGAAGTGATCACCTGTCTTTTACCACCATCACTTGGAAGGCCTCCTACTGGACCTGCATATGTGAAAAAGCTAACCCTACTACTACTGACTACTACTGACATTAGCCTGTATTAAAAAAAAATTATAAGAAGCATTATTGGTTCATATACGAAGGTCCTTACATATGGAAGATACTAGAGCTTGACCTTTGCACTATTGGATCTCATCAGTTTGGATGTTGCAGAGCAGTTCACCTTTT